GATTTATTAAGAAATTCTCACTAATGTACTCGTTTTCTAAGACTGAGAATATAATTTAGCATAAGCTTTGATTAGAAATATTTCTTTTTGAAGATTTTCGATGTTACGTTTCCAGTTGTTTTTTGCTTCATAATGCAAGTAAGTTTCTCACAGTACGAAAATGAATTTAAAGGTACAGCAGAAAATGAGAAGAAAAAAGAAGAGAAAGAGGACGAAGTGAAAAAAAAAGGGGGGGGGGGAGTATTGAAATATTTGTAATTGGTAAGAAATGTTTCGGTCCATTAAGTCAAGACACCATTGTTTCTCATTACGAATAAATACAGAGAAGTTTTGACTCCAGTTTCGTATTTTTGTTTTCCCATGGTCAGTCATTCATTTTTTTTAGACAAAGGGGTGCACTTTTTTACTGGTTTTTGAGACTTTTTGAGGGGAAATTTTGCCTTTTTTGAGTTGTGTTTCTACCACACCTAAAATTTCTTCCACGCATAATTACGCTGTACTTTCCTCATTTTTTGCAGCGCTGAATATTATAAAAACATACCATCAAAACACATGCACATAATTGGAGGGTTTGGTCTGGTTGCGGGGTTGGGAAGAGAAGGGCGAAGGGTGAAGTGGTGATGTCCTAGTGAGTCATATGGAAGGGACAGCTTGGGGAAGTAGAAGGGGAAATTTTGGTGATGAGGAACGGGTAATTTCAAAGACCCAATTTCCAAGCCGGAAATTTTAATGGTCTGCACTGTTGAAGGATTTGGGCCGATTGCGGGGTTGAGATGAGCTGGAGGGGTTAAATTGTGTTCTGACTGTTGGTCATATAGAATAGGGCTCAGAACGGGTAGCTTAGGAGAGTATGAGGGGTAATTTTGGGGTTGAGGGACGAGTGGGTGCAAAGGCTCGATTTCCATGCTGGAAAGCTTAATGGTCTGTAGTGCCAATCGTAAAGAATGCATGGGTATGGCGTTCATATCGGACAACTGATAAAGCTGAAAAAAAACATTATTTGAATCACTGATATAGCTTTTGTTCAAGAACACAAGAATACCAAGATCACCCAGCAAACAATGTGGGTATCCCATGTTAGTGTAAAGGCGAGGCCTTTGCCTCCCCACCCTCCAATTGAAATTATAAAACACAAAAATAAAAATTTGAGTCATCTTTCGACGACATTCTAGGTGAACTTCGGGAAGCGACGTTTCCGACGGGAATCACAATTTTCGCTCGGATTTCCGACAGGCATCCCACCCTCTGTTCCCACTTCGCCTTTTCCCCTATCGTAGATTGAATCCACAACGGTAAAATCCATCCCTGTTATCCATAGCATCCATTCTGGAATCCTGGATGAAGGCCGTTTCGGAGATTGTAATGTATGATATCTATTACAAGAACATCAGTATATAAGACGGGTGATCCGGTTATTCGGGGCCGGCGTGTTTCAATCGTTCACATCTACCGTCTGAGCGCCACTCATCAACCGATCTATTCATACCAGTTCTGGTGATTCGTTGATTACCCATCCTGTTCAGTATCATTGTCTCATACAATGAAATGCCTTATGTCTTTAGCTCAGCCTAGCACCCACATTGGTTCCTTCGATCCATCGACAGGCTCATATATGGTACCAGGATAAAACATAAATTTTAACATTAGTGATTTTTATTGAAAATCCTGTTATTTCGTCGTTTTGAATTGGAAAATTACTTGAAATTTTTTAGGCTTACCAAAGATGAATGTACTGCTGCATATTTCACGCAGTCGATGTCCATCAGCTGATCAGCATCATAAGCGAACTGTACATGAGCATGATGTATTCGATCGACACAATCCAATCGAACAAATCTACCGCTCCATAAATCGTGAACCATTTCCGACTGAATGAAAAGATCATAGATGATCCGGGCACGAGAATAATCCATTCCAGCTAAAGCAATCGCTTTTATAAGAAATTGAAAAATTTGATATTTTCAGCAAAAAAAAAAAGAAAAAAATAAAAATAACATGAAAAAAAAACGCTGATTTGGCTTTTGAATAACAACAGCATTATTCCCCCAAGCAATTAGATCACTAAATTTACTAAATTTGGTTTTTACTAAAAAAAATTTGCTAGATTTAATTTTTACTATTTTCACTAAATTTTTATTAAATTTAGAAATATTAACCTATTTTCAATAAATTTTTACTAAATTTAAAATATTTACCAAAAAATTTTTCAGTAAATTTTTACTAAATTTAAAAATATTTGAAGCTCAAACGATATTCAGTAGATATTCAAATTTAAACGCTAAATTACTTATTAGTTCTACGCAGAATTATAAACGCTATTCAAAGAGTACAAACTAGTTAATTACGGAGCACTTTTTAAAGTATTGAGGAATGAAACGTATATTACAAATAAGGTTTAGCTGGGATTGTTTCGAATTATTAAATTACTTACGTTTTAATCCAGCGGCAAACTTTATTTTTCCCTTTTCCCTTTTTCTTACACTATTTCTTCTGATTTAATTTATACACCTTAGTAAATTATCTTTGCTACCACAATCGTCGTACTGACGAGGTCCACCGTGGCAACGGTAAGAAATGTATACGACTTAATGGACCGAAACATTTCTTATCAATAACAAATATTTCTTTAGACCCCTTACCTATTTTGATATCCTTTTCCTCCTTTTCATTGTTTTCATCTTCTGATATTTTCCTTTTAACCTTTAATTGAATTTGTCAGTACGATGACTGTAATAAATATAAGGTAGGAACTGATAAGATGTCAAGAAAGGAGTATTTCATGGATATTTTATGACTTCCGTCGAGATTTTGCACCTATTTAATTGGATTTTTCTAATCCCATAGCAATAATCCCTATACCTGCCCAACAGGCTCAAATAATCCAGAAAAGTCATTGCATAAATTGGACGAAAGTGTACTAGGATAAAACGGCACCGACTACATGCAATAACAAAACAATCTGTTTTTCTGTGCTACATTAAACCATCTAAATTATTTTGTTATCATAATCGTCGTACTGACGAGATCCAGTTGTGGTAATGGTAAGAAATGTATACGACTTAATGAATCGAAACAATTTTTATCTATTACAAATATTTCCATATCCTCTTTCACCTTCTTACTTCGCTTTTTTTTTCATTTTCTTTCCCTCTTGATCTTTTCTAATTCATTATTTTCTCTTTATCCTTTAATAAGTAATCAAAAAGTAATAAGTGATAAGTGTTTTTTTCTGAATACCTGGATGCCTTGGCGATGTGAGTGTTGTCATGAAGCCATCATCATTATCAGAAGCTGCATGATTGTGAAATTCGTTCGGGATGTGAGGCCCGGTTAGGTCTGAGGATGCAACTTGAGAGGGGGGCGTTACAGGTACCACAAGCATTCTGGGCTTCTGAAACAGATTTGTTTTGTAATTTTAATTTTAGATGGTGTGCGTTTATATAAGTAAGGGAATAAAGGGAATATAAATAAGTTAAAATCTGAATAGGAATGTTTCAGTTCATCAAGTCGCATACATTCCTGTTCAGTGTTGCACCTGGACCTCGTCGGAGTGACGGTTGCAGCAAAAATAACATGCAATGTGTCAAAAAGAAAAAGGAAAGTTAAGATAAAGCTT